AAGCAAGGGTTCTACGGTGACGATCAACCCTCTTGATCTCGTTTTTCACCTCCGCCATGATGTACGTCGCGTTTCCATGAGTAATCTTGGCGATCCGAACAAGCTCCTCCGCCGTACCGAGTTTGTGGATCTCATCAATGTTGTAATAGTCAAGCGCACCAAATACCGGGATGTAATCAAGCAAGTTTCGGCGTGGATTATAGCCGTCGAGTTCATGGAGAAAGTTAGGGATCTCAGGATATGGGTTGAGTGCACCCATCTCCGGAGGATCACTTGACGGAATAACTGCGGGGAGGGCGGATGTGGAAGCATGGGGAAAAGAAGACGGTGCAGCAGACATGATTGGCGGCATTGGTGACATGTGAGAATGTCCCGGAAGCCCCCAAGGCATGTACGGATAGCCCATCATCTGCTGCGGCATCATCCCAGAAAATAAGCTTGGCATCGGCGGTCCTGGCGGTCCAACCTCCCCAGGCATGCTTTTGAAGAACATGCCAAAGAGGTTCTGCCCAGCAACGTCGCGCGGTGGAGTCTTGAGTGTGACACCGTTCTTTCCGAGAGCCTGGTAGATGTATAAGCAATGAAGCAGCATAAGAATTGGGCACACACCAGAGCTTGTGCCCATGCCCGTCTTTGACCATTGGTCAAGTGGTGGTGGGTTCCTGCAACAGTAATCTTGCAAAATTTCGTTGGTCCGCACGCTTGGCAGTGGCCATACTGATTGTCAAGCTGCTCCATGCACTTAATTTCGTGGTCCATGGTCCCCAAACCGTCATCAAAGTCATCATCACCGGACTCCGCATGGTCCAAATCGAGTATCACAGGCTTCTTGCTGCGTCCCTTTCCAATCGACGGTTTGGCTTTGCCACGCTTGACAGATAGCGAGTTGAGGTACTATGAGACTGATTCAGTTTGTTGAACAGCGGCCACTCGGGTGATATACCTGCTCAGTCACCAAAATCATAACGGGGATCAACACACCAGCCTTTTTTGCGCTCTCAGCCTGTCGCACATCCTCTAGACACCCCTTCCAGTCCTCATCAGTGCTCAGCGACGTTGCGGGAACTTTGGCGGTCGCATTAGATAATTTGTACGTCAAGACTGGTTTACGGGTGACATCTGTGCATCCTACAGTCGAGTGAATAACAGCAAGTGCTTCATTGAAAGTGGTTGCATGTGTAAGAGTGATACGCTGATTTCCAGGTTCAGAAGCCCGCGGAACACTCAAAACAAGCTCTTATGCAATGAATAAGCTGCCGAAGTGACAATGAAAATAACGTAAACACGCACGTCGTTTATCATGGGACAGCATCTCTGTTTCTCCGCCCTTTGCCTTCTTCCCACGGGACTTCTTCTTCGGAGGTTGGACGACATCGTCCTCCGAGTCACTGCTGAGAGTGATCTCGGACTCGTGGTCCGAAGTGGCCTTCTTCGATGCAGCCTTCTGTGGCACCAGCTTCTGAGCCTTCGACGGCGCCTTGCGCTTGATCAGAGGCGGGGGAGTGATATTTATACTGCTGGAGCTATCGTCGTCCTTCTGATCAAGAGATAGGAGGGTGTCTGAATTCGGAGTGCCAGAGAAGTCGATGCTGGTGGAAAGATCATAGTCACTGCCAGAAACAGAAACAGCCGTTGGCTCCGGGGAGGATGGCTGCTGTGTGTTTGTTCTCTGGGTAGTGTTTACTGCAACAACGTTGGCGAGTCTTCTCGACTTCCTACGGGCTGAGGTTGATTTTCCGTCGCCCATGGTACGATAGAGACAAGTGGAAGGTGACTTTGGTCATAGCACGTGTGGTGTGACCGATGACGGTTGCGACGCATTGTACAGCATAATCGAGCTCTTTTTTCCGCATATGAGAAGTTAGGTACCGTAATTGAATATGGCTGGGTACACTCTCATAGGAAGAGGGAAGTTTTTTGCCTCATGGATTGCTGCAACAAATGATCTTGTTGGGAAATCAATTTTTGGCCATGCTTGACAGGCGGCAGCAGGAATTAAATTTTTACTAGAGCACTTTACTTTTATCTGAGGAGGCCATCCCTGAGACAACATACCTGCGTCGAACATATCCAAGAACTAGAAGATTCGGGCCAGCGGAACCAATGCTACCCGTGTTCTTCTCAAGAATGTTGCCAAACTCGTGTTCTTGATCCAATGAAGGACTGTCTTGGTGCAGTAAAATAATCGAAGGATGCCATCCCCTGCATATTCTGAATGCCGTTTGAACGGTCCAACTTACAGAGCAAACGGACAAGAAATGAGAACAGTGCAGCTGTCCTAGTCCGAAAAACCCAGAAAAACCCAGAAAAAGCTGTTAGATCACTTGGTAAAACAGTTATTGGGGTCAAGTAAAATATCTGAGGAGACGGTCCTTTGCGCCCTTGAAATACAAAGCGTTCGAGCCTATCAAAATGACAAACGGACAAGAAATGAGGACGGTGCAGCTGTCCTAGTCCGAAAAACCCAGAAAAACCCAGAAAAAGCTGTTAGATCACTCGGTAAAACAGTTATTGAGGTCAGGTAAAATATCTGAGTAGACGGTCCTCTGCGCCTTTATAATACGCAGCGTTTGAGCCTATCAACACGGCAAACGGATGAGAATTGAGGCCGCTACGGGTGTCCTAAAGCGCGGGGATCAAAAAGTGCCCAAAAAGGCAAAAAAAAACGGTGCGCGCCTTATGTACCGCAAACTGCTGTAATTGGTGTTGAATGAAATGTGAGCGAGTAAATACATAACAACGTAGTTGGGCCTCAAACGCGGTGGAGGTGAGCGCACTGTAGCGTCAGTCAAATCTACTGATCTCAGGAGGTTGACCGCAGGAACCACATCGAAGGAGTCTTCCTGTCGCTAAGGAAAAGAAAAGAAAATGCGAAAAATGACAGTACCCAATCTCCAACTGATGGCCCGGCCCCGGATCGAACGGGGACTTTCCGCGTAGCCCATTCAAGCATCGCGCCCCAAAACAGCCATGCGCCACCGAGCCGTGCCGTGGGGAAGGTGGAGGATGTATGTAAACGAGTCGTCCGGTGCAAGTTCGAGCTTGATTGTGAATTTAACTTGAAGGAGGCCATCCAGCTGCATCACACACATTCTAACCTTGCTCTGCGCACCTTATATTGATTCTGAGGGTGCAGCATAATGGAATGTGTCGACAGGAACAGGCATCGTTTTCCAACATCGGGCAAGGGAGCAAAAAAAAAAAAAAGGACGACGAATGGTTCATGGTTCAACCCCGAGTCGAACGGGCGTACCTGCTGAAATATTAATCGGTCACACTCTTCCTCATATCGCGCAGGTGCGGTACCACCGCTATCGAGCCGTATCCATCTACTCCTGAACCCAGATAGTGACTGGAGCCGTCTACCTACCTCCAGAGCACAGCTCGCAGTGTTGAATTCATTTCTTTTAAATTAAAACTTGAAGAACCAGCGGCTCAACTCCAAGACTGGGTCCTGACAGTGTGGGAAATTTGTTTAACAGCGCACACGGGAAAAAATGACACGATCGTCGCATCCCGACGCCTCAAGGCTTGACGCCGAATCCACGAGTGGCCCTACCATATTGCACCCACCGCCCTCGAGCCGATGCCCACACAATCTTGAACTTGAGTACGATTATGGCTTCCGGCCGGAAGTGTAGAATTTTGTGAAAATGCTGTACATATTTTATTTCCTCCAGGAACACAAACTCCAGTCGGAAAAAGAATAAAACGCAACAATATCCGATAACGGCTCGACCCCAGATTGAACGGGTGGCCCTGCTCAATCTCGCTGTTCAACGCAGGTGCGGTCCTATTATTCCTACCGCCAACAAGCCAGTATTTGTCTCGATATCTTAAAACATATGTCGCTGGCTCTCCGCAAGCGCCCTGGGCTGATATTATATCTGCCATGGAGTTCATGTTGATTTCCTCGCGCCTGTTGCTGCCGGTCATCACTGATTCGAGCACAGCCCCACGGGCAGAATGTCTCTTGTCTTCTGTTCTGCCGCGTTCATTGTTCAAGTTTCACAAAGTACGGTACACACTATGCGTCATCAATCGCCCGTCGTTTCACGATGAAATTATCAACGCATCCACGCGATCCATTGGTAAGTTATTGGTAAGTACCCTTTTGTTGGAACGCGCGCCTACCGGCCGGTCATTCAAATCTACAATCGTGGCACGCGGATCGAAGGAGTCTCCAATCCCTGTCCCAGAGGAAAAGAAAAATGACCAAAATGCGCAAAATAAAAATGAAGACGTTGAGATCGCCCGTCCCTGAATCGAACGGGGACCTTCCGCACAACCCTATAGCTTCCTAAAAAAAACAGCGAACGCACAACCATGCGCCACCGAGCCGTACCATGAGCAGATGAAGGATCCGCGAGGAAAAGAAAAGAAAGAAAAAGAGAAAAATACACTGTACTTCTCTATAGCCCAGCCCGGAGTCGAACGGGAACCTTCCGCGTAACTCCATCGCTTCCTAAAGAACAGCGAACGTGCAACCGCGGGCCACCGAGCTGATAGAAGCATTCCAGTTGCCTTTCTATCCATCGGGATGACTGACGTACAAATCTATTTCTCAGCGGGCAATCGGAAGGAAAAGAAAAAGAGGTGAGCTCCCTTTGTGTTCGGCTTACCCCCTCGGTCTCAACAGGTTGCCCACGAAATCGCACGGGTGGTGTGTTCGTTTCTCGACTCAAAAAAAAAAAAAAAAAAAAAGGAACGGCCCGGCCCCGAATCGAACAGGGTTCTCCTGCATGAGGCTTTTTCCAAATTAACACCAGCAGACGCGCAGCCATGTGCCACCGAGCCGATAGTATCTGCCCCGATGCGAGCAAGTAAGTATATAACAACGGAGGTGGACATCAAACGCGGTGTCAGTCAAATCTACTGATCCCAGGAGGTGAACGCAGCAAAGTTCGCGTCGAAAGGCTCTCCGCTCCCCGATGCTAAGGAAACAAAGGAAAATATGAAAAAGAACAAGCGAAAAATGACAGTACCCAATCTCCAACTGATGGCCCGGCCCCGGATCGAACGGGGACTTTCCGCATAGCCCATTCAAGTATGCCCAAGAACAGCGGATGCGCAGCCATGCGCCACCGAGCCGTGCCGTGGGGCAGGTGGAGGATATATGTAAACGAGTCGTCCGGCGCAAGTCCGAGCTTGATGGGGATATTTAGCTTGAAGGAGGCCATCCAGCCGCACCACATACACTCTAACCACCTCAAATTGATTCTGAAGGTACGGAATGAAAGGCGTAGGCAGGAACTGGGAGGCGTTGTTTTCCAACATCAAGCAAGGGGTGCAAAAAAAGAAAGTCTCTCTCAATTCGCACATTCGCACATGGCTCAACCCCGAGTCGAACGGGCGTACCTGCTCGTACCAAACCATCTATTTCTTATATCGTGCAGGTGCGGTCCCACCGTTATCGAGCCGTATTCATCTACTCTTGAACTCGAATAGACCGTGGAGCTGCACAGCTACCTTCCGAGCACACCCCGCAGTTTTGAATTCATTTCTTCCTAAAGAACCAGCGGCTTATCTCCAAGACTGAGCTGAGTCCTCCTAGTACGGGAAGGCTGTTTCAGAGCGCACACTGGAGAAACTGACACGATTGTCCTTTCTGAACGCCTTAAGGCTCGACCCCGAATCCACGGCGGTCCTACCATATTTCACCCACCGCCATCCAGCCGATGTCCACACTTGAACTACGATAGTTTCCAGACGGAAGTGTAGAATTTTGCGAATGCTGTATATATTTCCTCCAGGAAAAGAAAAAGAAAGAAAAACTCCAGGAACAAAACGCAACAATATCCTATAACGGCTCGACCCCGGATTGAACGGGTGGCCCTGCTTAATCTCGCTGATCAATGCAGTCCTACGACTCCTACCGCTATCAAGCCAGTATTTGTCTCGATATCCTTGAACATATGTCTCTGCGGGCGCCCTAGGCTTGCATTTTATCTGCCATGGAGTTCATGTTGATTTCCTTGCATCTGAACTTCAAAGGTGCGTTGCCGCCGGCTATCATGATTCGAGCACAGCCCCACGGGCCGAATGTCTTTTATCTTCCGTTCCGCCGCGTTCAAAGTTTCAACGGAGTACGGTACACACCAAGGCATGAATCGCACGTCACCGTTGGGAATTCCACGATGTAATTAGCAATGCATCCACGCGATCTAAGTTATTAGTCAGTCCCCTTTTTTTTGGAACGGGCGCTTATTTGCCGGTCACACCCGGATGGCGTCATCCTTCGGCTTATAAACGCGAGTCCGCTCAGTCATGCTGCAGCTCTCTCACCGCGTCTTCTCCAGGCTTACTCACTTCTCACTACCTTCACTCTATCGTCCTTGTCTCTCTACACGCTTCACACGCGCTTTAGCTGCAATGGCCACTGAAAGCAAGAAACCTATCGTCCTATACACCCTCGGCACTCCCAACGGCGTAGTGGTCGCCATTTTTCTCGAGGAGCTGAAGGTGCGTCCACCAGAGCCGCTAGAGAGTCTGCAGCCCAATTGAATTCGACTCGGCAGGCGGCGTACGGCGGGCCAGACTACGAGTGCGTCCAGTGAATTCTCACTCTCTTCCACTATTTACCTATTCTCGCAGTGTAGTCAAGATGAGCATCAGCGACGCCGACATCGGCAAAGTCCACAACCAAGTAAAATCCCCCTGGTTCCTCGAGATCAACCCCAACGGCCGCATCCCCGCCATCACGCACGAGGGCACGCGCGTCTTCGAGACGTCCGCGATCCTGCTCTACCTCGCCCAAGTGTACGACAAGGAGCGCAAGTTCTCGAAGGACCCGTCGGACTTGAAGGCGTGGGCGGAGGAACAGAGCTGGATTTACTTCACTGTGAGAACCCGCCCTGCGGCGTTTGGAGCTTGAGCTTGAGCTGACCACACGCACACGCACACAGCACGGGGGGATCGGGCCCATGCAAGGCCAGGCGAATCACTTCAACCTTTACGCAAAAGACAAGATGTGAGTCCTCCCCCTCCCCCCTCCCCACCCAACCCAGCTCCTGTTCCAAAACCCTCGTCACTGACACCTCTTCCTCGCAGCCCATACGCGATCAACCGCTACCTCGACGAGACAAAACGCCTCTACTCCGTCCTCGAGTCCGCGCTCGAGAAATCAGAGTACCTCGCCGGCCCGACGTACGGCCTCGCCGACATCAAGGCCTTCGGGTGGGTCCGCATCGCACCGCGGACGGGCGTCGATTTGGCGCCGTTCCCCAAGCTGAGCGCGTGGCTAAAGAAGATTGAGGAGCGTCCGGCGGTGAAGGAGGGGCTGGCGGTTCCGCGCTCGGAGTGACTCCGCGGAGGGAGAGAGGATAATAAGTTGTGAATATGTACGATACTATTGCGAAGGAATGAAACGTCACGTGTGACTCAAAATTTGGAGGGATCTAGTACAGTACCTGAACGCAGCGATAGTTTTCGAATCTCGAGTCGAACAACCACAAAAATGAAAGAAAAAATCGGAAACGCTTCTTCGATAAGGCTCGATCCCCGAGTCGAACGAGGGTGCCTGCTCAAGATTGTTCGTATCATGTCATATCGCCGCATATCGTGCAGGTGCGGTCCCACCGCCATCGAGCCGTATCCTCTCATCCGAAACTCGAGTGGAATCAAGTACTTCCAAGCATGCGGGCAGGGTAGGGAAGGAAAATGAAAAATCAAGTACGACTCAGAGTTGAAGGAATCCAGTTCACTGAAGGTACAGTATTTGAACGTCGTACAGCGACACACCGATAACATTCGAATGTGAATTCGAACCGCAAAAAAGAAAGAAAAAATTGATGATCCTTTGACTGCACGGCTCGATCCCCGAGTCGAACGAGGGATGCCTGCTCAATGCAGCTCTGCAAATGAAACCCATATCGTGCAGGCGCGGTCCCACCGCCATCGAGCCGTATCCTCTCATCCGAACCTCGAGTGGAATCAAGTACTTCCAAGCACGCAGGCAAATGGGACAGAGGGTGGGGTAGGGAAGGAATATGAAGAATAAAGTGACTCGAGTTGGAAGAATCCAGTTCATTGAAGGTACCGTTAGTACATTATTTGATAGTCGATCAGCGGGACAGCGATGGTTTTCGAATGTAAAGTCGAACCGCAAAAAGAAAAAAAAGAAAAAAATTGATCCATTCAATTCACGGCTCGACCTCGAGTCGAACGAGGGTGCCTGCTCAATGTTATAAAAACCAAGGGATATCGTGCAGGTGCGGTCCCACCGCCATCGAGCCGTATCCTCTCATTTGAAAATCCAGTCGAGTCTAGCACTTCTAAGCAGGCGGGGAGGTGGGACAGGCTAGGGAAGGAAATGAAAAATAAAGTGTGACTCGGAGTTGAAGAAATGATGTACACCTCAACAGGGTTTGAACTCCATCGTACAACGACACACCGATAATATTCGAATGTCAAGTCGAACAAAGAAAAGAAAAAGGCACAAATTATCTCCAATATGGCTCGATCCCCGAGTCGAACGAGGGTGCCAGCTTGGTGCCAGCTCAATGTGCTCCAAACCAAGGCATTTCGTGCAGGTGCGGTCCCACCGCCATCGAGCCGTATCCTCTCATCTGAAACTCGAGTGGAATCAAGCACTTTCAAGTACGAGGGGAGGTGGGAGGGAAATGAAAAATAAATTGTGACTCAGAGTTGAAGGAATCCACTTCACTGAAGGGACAGTATTTGGTCGCCATTAGTGATCACCACGGGTATCCCATGGGTACTCAGACCTCCACCCGTACCCGTACCCGTACCCGTACCCGTACCCGTACCCGTACCCGTACCCGTACCCGTACCCGTACCCGTACCCGTACCCGTACCCGTACCCGTACCTGACCCGCCCAGTGGGTACGGGTACCCGTGAACTTTACCCGTGGGTGCTAGGCGGGTGCACGGGTCCCGCCACCCGCCATACCCGTTGGGCTTCCCGCTGTATTGGCGATGAAAAACAGCTGTATTAATGTTCAGTACTAGTATCAACTGTGCGCTACCTCTTTGCACATGGATTTGTGCTTGTCCTCCGCCAAGTTCTGCTCTTCAATGGTCGGCAGCTTGGTGACTGCCTTCATGTCGTCATCGTTTATAGGCCCTGCTGACTCCAGCAAACCAAGGCACATCACCATCCGTCCTGTTTCTGCAGACAGCCGATTGAGGATACTAGAGATCACTAAACGACCGCGACTGAATTGACGCTCCACGTACATAACGAAGTAGCCGACGGGTTGGCGCGGGTCAGGCGGGTTTGCGCGGGTAGCACCGAAGCAACCCGTACCCGTACCCGGCACTCCCCGTACCCGCACCCCGCCACGGGTGTGGCCACCCGTGGTGATCACTAGTCGACATACAGCGACACACCGATAACATTCGAATGTCAAGTCGAACCGCCAAAAAAAAAATGGTGATCCTTTGACCGCTCGATCCCCGAGTCGAACGAGGGATGCCTGCTCAATGCAGCTCTGCAAATGAAACACATATCGTGCAGGCGCGGTCCCACCACCATTGAGCCGTATACTCTCATCTGAAACTCGAATAGAGTCTAGCACTTCGAAGCACGCGGGGAGGTGGGACAGAGGGTAGGAAAGGAAATGAAAATAAAGTGCCATTCAGAGTTGATAGAATCCAGATCATTGAAGGTACAGTATTTGGTCGCCATAAAGCGGGGTAGCGATAGTTTTCGAATGTCAGGTCGAACAAAAAAAAAAAAGTTTTTTCCAGTGAGGTTCGACCCCGAGTCGAACGAGGGTGCCTGCTCAAGGTTCTTCGCATCAAGCCATAGCCTGCAGGTGCGGTCCCACCGCCATCAAGCCGTACCTTCTTATCTGAAACTCGAGTTAAATCTAGCACTTCCAAGCACGCAGGCAGGGTAGGGAAGGAAATGAAAAGTGCCATTCAGAGTTGAAGGAATCCAGTTCATTGAAGGCTACAGTTAGTACAGTATTTGATCGCCATACAGCGGGATAGCCATGGTTTTCGAATGTCAAGGCGAACTGCAAAAAAAACAAAGACTTTTCCACAAGGCTCGACGCCCGAGTCGAACGAGTGTACCTGCTGATTATTCCAAAGTTCTGAAACTCGAGTGGAATCTAGCACTTCCA